TTCCCGCGGGGCGTAAAGAGAGAAGTACACGTGGCTCTAAACAACCCAAGACCCAGGGCCAGCTTGGCGCAGCCGGGGGCTGCCACCCAGGCCCACCACGGCCGCCAAGCGTTCGCGCCCGGGACGCAGGCAGCTCGGGTCTCCCTCTCCGCGTCTACTCAGAGGTGGTCGCGCGCGCCGGAAGGAGACCGCGGCCTTCCGCCGGCACGGGCCCGCCCCGGCACTCGCCCGGGCACCCGCCCTGACACTTACTCTTGTTGACGGTCTTGAGAGCGCGCGTGAAGTCACCGTTCTGGCCATAACGGTTCACTTCGCTCCAGAGCGCAGGCACCGACACCCCCCCACTGCCGCCGCTCGCCATCTTGCAGGAAACGCGAAGGGACGGGATGACCTCTGCCCCGGAAAAGGATCTCAGAGGCGGCCAAGCGGAGGAGGAAGCCGGCGGTTGCTAAGCGTTCGGAGTCGGAAGCGCCCACATCCTGGAGTCGGCGTCGGAGACCGTTTCTTCCTGTGTGGTTGCTAGAAATTCGTGGACAGAGTCGACACGCCTTTCCTGGCGCGGGTCTGGAGGAACGAGGCGTCGGACCCCGGGAAGGGCTTTACCAATCAATCTCGGCTCAAAGCGTCGTGTGTTTGAGGGGCGGCCGCTGCAGGCAGAGCAGTGTTCTGGTACCACACGCGAGCTGGGCGACGACCTGTGGAAGATAAAAGGTCTACGGGGCAGTAAAATACCAACTAGAAACCGTAGGGAGTCGTTTGAAGAGGGAGAGGGACGGTTTCTTGCTGCTTGAGAATTTCAGAGCGGAATTGAGATTTAAAAGGGGTCTTGAAAGATAACAGGAAAACCTGGGGCTGGTCCTGGGTAAAGTTCCTGCCGAGAAGCGAATATGAGCAAAGGCAAAGAAGAAAAAAAGAATCTCCAAGCGGAAAGCGTTCGGTGAATCCCTTCGGCTACCCTTTGGGCTCTAGTTCAGGAGCAGTCGGCAGTAAGGCTGGAAAGCTAGTGTTTTCGGGTGAGAATGTCCCGGTTAGTTCCTGGCTTTACGACTCACTAGATGCTGTATCAAAGTCCCAGTTTTCCCGACTGTAAAATAGGGATAATATAGAACTCTTTGGGGGAGAAAAGGTAATTCACGCAACCTGCCATCATCAGCACTCACGCAACATATAGACGGGGTTTAGGGGTTTTGTAAGGTATCAAGAAGGGTTTGAGTGTCAGAACAGAGCCAGTACCTATCGATTTTTTTTTTTTTTTTTAATATATCTTTATTGATTTCAGAGAGAGGAAAGGAGAGGGAGTGAGATAGAAACATCAGTGATGAGTCATTGATCGGCTGCAGCCTGCAACCCGGGCATGTGCCCTGACCGGGAATCAAACCCTGATCGCCTGGATCCTAGGTCGATGCCTAACCGCTGAGCCACGCCAGGCCGGGCCCTATTGATTACTCTTGATGAAATGACAGGACACTTGACTGAACTCCTACTCTTTAGACTCCTATCTTGTCAGGATCCTACCAACTCCTGCCGCTTCCCCTCTGCTCTTTCCCAGCTAACTACTGTTCATCCTCCCATATTTCTGCATCCTGGTCCCAGGTTTAAACTTACTTGACATTCATAGAGCTCTGTTTCTGGGCATCGATCATTGTTTAAGGCCTGTCGCTAGATGGACTATTATTTCTGTAAGACCAGGGACCATATTTACCTTTCTTGCAGAAGGATTGCTAGGATTTGTCTAGCACACTGGCTAGTCCTCAACTTTTTGTTGTTTGTGGTACTCAACTTTTTAACTGAATGAGTTTCTGCTTCTTATTTCTCCCCTAATCTGGGGGTTTGAGGGCAGAAACGATGTCTGGCTCATGGTTTCTTCCTATGGTGCCTGGAACATTTCATGTCTGGTCAGTATAGTACAATGCAAAACTGGCACGAAAGGTAGAGTGAACTCTAGCTCGGGAAGATATCATCTCTGTGAATTAGTAAAAATTACGGGAAGAGCTGTGGACTTTTCACTGGCTGTGGAGTTGTCACAGGCTTCAAGCCAATTATGCCTAGATTTCAGGGGGGTTGAGGGAGTTCTAGATGATATTTGGTATACCCAAAATATTGTGTGAATTTTTCTGAGAAAAGCTTATATAAGGATATACAATTGTGGTTTCTGTTATCAGTCTGATCCCATATACTTTGTAGCTTCTATAAATTCCTCAGAATCCCTCTACCATGGATTCCTGTGTTCACTTCTTCTGTCATTTTAAAGGGGTTTTCTAGAAAACAGGATATAAATATATAGATTTAATCTGCCATTTCTTAAATAGGAGTCTTCCAAACCAGAGTGATCTTTCTAATGCCACTCTCATTCCCTCAGGATAAAATCCAAACTACAAATCCTAGCAATGTAAAGTCCTTTGTGACCTGGCCTATGCTTGCCACTTCCCCAACCCACACAGGTCTTTTGTTACTCACTCCCTACTCCCCTTGCATGTTACAGTCCTTTAATACATGTGTAGTTCCATGTCATACTTCTGGGAATTTGCACATTTATTCATTCAACAAATATTTGAGTTCCTCATATATGCTCATGTCAGGCATTATACTAGTTGCTAGGGATACAGTTAACAAAAGGACCACCTGGTGCACTCATGATTTATTTTCTAGTTAGGAGAGGCAATGAACAAATATATACTATATTTGGTGGTAATAAATTCTATGAAGGAAATTAAGGAAAGGTAAGAGGGACTGAGAATAGTGTGCAAGGAGTTAAGTCCCGCTTTTTCATTCACAATATACACGTGTTTTTTAGATCCTCTCCTGTGTGCATTCAGAATACTCTGTCCTTTACTTCACATGATGACAAGAGTGTTTTGAAACTGTCTGCTCTGGAGGACTCCCAAGACTTGTTGAGGACAGAAGTTGGATCTTGTTCATTGTTGCATTCCTGCATAGTAGGAACTCAAAAACTTATTTTTGCATTAAAAGGATTTAGCAATTTCTACTGAGTTTCCACATACTGTATCTTGTCATTTTATCCAGAGGCAGGCAGAAGTGTTATTTAGTCCACTTTACAAATGAGACCTGAGGCTCAGAGTGATGTTCCCAAGGGAATCTTTTTTCCTCCATTCCGCTGCTATTTGTACTGTCCCACAATACGAGATTAACAACTCCACTGCAAGTATTTGAGGTTGTGGGCAGTTCAATGCAAAAAACACCACTAAAAGTAACACATTTTCCTTGGCTTTCCAAGCCCTGCTGGGCTGAATATAGTGGGGAAAGATTGATTGTTCCATGGCACATTATATTTAAAAGCACACTATGCTGACTGCCCTTTCCCCCTATTTTTAAAGAACTGGGGTTTTTGGTGTTGGTTTTTTTAAAAGATTTTTTAAATTGATATTTAGAGAGGGGGAAGTGGAGGAGAGAGAAAACAATGTGAGAGATGGGCTGCCTCCTGCATGCCCCCGTACCCAGGGTTGAACCCACAACCCAGGCATGTGCCCTGATAGGCAACCTTTTGGTGCATGGGATGACACCCAACTGAGCCACACTGCCCAGGGCATCCCCCAATTTTAGAAATTAAATCAGCCTGTCAAATTCAAGGAAATTTTCATGGTGAATCAATTCCACTCATTCCATCCCCTACAGTCTGCAAAATGAGTATGACAACGCATTCATGTGTCAGGGTATACTTTTACATATATTGACTCATTTTAATTCTCATAACCACATGAGGTAGTAGTAGTAGTCCCATTTTATGCATGAGAAAATTGAGGCACAAAAAATTTAACTCATTGAGGGTCCCATTGTTCCAACCTCTCAACCAATATCCTTGCTTCTCTTGTCCACACAATAGCCAGAGAGAACTTTAAAACATGTTAAATAGGGCCCGGCCAGTGTGGCTCAGTGGTTGAGCATTGACCTATGACCCAGGTCAGGTTGATTGCTGGTCAGGGCACATGCCCAGGTTGCAGGCTCAATCCCCAGTAGGGGGAGTGCAGGAAGCAGGCAGATCAGTGATTCTATCATTGATATTTCTCTCCCCTCCCAACTTCCTCTCTGAAATCAATAAAGGCATATTTAAAAAATAAAAACACGTTAAATACATAATATTGTGCCCTTGTTCCAACTTTCCAATGGTTTTTCCTTTCACACTTGTGTGTCCTGTAGGCTCTAAGTGATCTTGCCTTTGCTTACATCCATCCACATTCTCTCCTTCCACTCTTACCCTTGCTCACAGAGCTCCAGCAATATTGGGTTTGCAGGCCCTCAAAAGGACAAAGCTTTTTGCCCTGGTGGCTCAGTTGGTTGGAGCATTGTTCCATACAACAGAAGGTCATAGGTTTGCCCTAGCCAGTTTGGCTCAGTGATTAGTGTGTCTGCCTGCAGACTGAAGGGTCTGGAGTTTGATTCCAGCCAAGGGTGTGTACCTGAGTTGCAGGCTTAATCCCCAGCCCAGGTCAGGGCACGTGAGGGGTGGCAACCAATCCATGCGTCCATCTCTCTCCCCTCTCCCTTCCTTTCCTCCCTCTCCCTCTCCCACCTCCACTCTCTGAAAAGCAATGGAAAAAGTATCCTTGGGTGAGGATTAAAAAAAAAAAAAAAAAAAA